CGTGTCCTTTCGCGGGCGGCGGCGGCAGTTTTGCATTTGAATTCGAATCGAACCCTAAGTGTTGGATAGCGCTGCTGCGATCAAACGGAGCGAGGCTGCGGCTGGTGCTGCTGCTGCCGAAGATGGCGGGAATTCAAGCAAGCAAGCGATGGCTTGAGCGCGGTGCGGACTTCGTCTAGTGTATTTTTTCGGCGCCGCCCTACGATCATTTCGGATTCCGGGGTCATGAGTCAAGAGCATCCGAGATAGCCCGAAGATGAGGAGCTACAAGTATGCGATATGTCAGTCTTGTATCCATGTACATGGGTGTCCAGACCTTCTGTGCGAAAGATCGCCGCAGCCCTATCTAGGCGCTGATAAACCGCAACAGGATTCAATTCAATGTGTGTTACATACAACAAGTGATTCAAGGAGAGTATGATGTGCGAAATGCGACGTACGAGAGTGCGACCGCACGTAGAGTAACCTGTGTGTACAGTGAGGTACAACAAACAATAGCAGAGCAGAGCGAGCTCGCTCTTACAGCTGAGCGTCCTCTTATTAAGTTATTTTATAATGCAAGCTAACGGGGACGAAGAGGAGGGGGGAATGCGCCCAAGAGATGTGGAGAGTTGAGTTGATTTACACGCGAACGTGATTTCGCGATATGCCGCTGAAAACACAAGTCAGGCGCATGATCGACCAGCTGAGCTCGCCCCACTCACAAACTCACACTGAGTCCAGCCCTTCACACGCAGTATACCACGTTTCATCCGAAACACCCGACATGACGCTCCCCGCCGACGAAGCCAAGCGTGGGGGGGTCTTGAACGGAAACGGCGATGACGCGCGGTGGCGCCGCGGTGGCGTGACCGGGGGCGTGGGGAAGGCGTCCAGGGCAGAGAGTAGCGATCGCGCGTCTCCATCTGCGTCATCTTGCTCGTCTCCGGAAACGTCACCCTCTTTCTCGGGCAGCAGCGGCTCCGAGAGATCGTCGTCATCACCGCCGTCGTCGACAACCCCGTTGTCATGAAACCCGTAAACCGTCCCGGCGTAGCCAGCGGAATACGGGTGCGGCGGGACCGCGCAGATAGGCGCGCATACATCCATGCACCGAGCACGGGGCGGTTCTGGGATCGGCCCGGCGGGCACGGGTCTGATCGGAGGAAGGTCCCGTGCACACTTGGGCGGTGGAGGCGGGGGCAAGGGCGAGGGTGCGGTGAACGACGCGGGGAGGGTGAATAGGGAGAGGGCTGAGATCGAGGGGACGCCCCGGAGGCTTCGTGCACGCTGGCGAGGAGAGGAGGTCGACGACCATCGCTTCACGGGTGGTTTCGGTAGCATGTATGCGGAGGATGAGAATGAGAAGGTCGAGGTGTCGGATGCGCACGCGGACGCGGATTCTGACGATGAGAAGGACAGTGCTGAGGATGAGGATGAGGTGGAAGATGATGAGGTGAAGGTGGAGGTGTCGCAGGACGACAGGGAGGCCCCAGGATGGACTCGCTCCGTTGCCACCACAAGCGGCACGTACGGCACGAAGCCCTCACTATCCGATTCCGGCTCCGGTGCTTTGAGAATCAGAGAGGCAGTGGACGCGGAAAAGAAGCCGAGCCGAAACGATGGGCGGGCAGCGAGCGTGAAGCGATGTTTCAGGCGCGTCAAGAGGGTGCGTGATTTACTGATGGGTGTCGCAGTGTGGGAGGAGGAGGAGGATGCGGATGCGGAGTAGCTGGAGGTGGAGAGAGTTGCGAGAAGCCCGACCGCAGAAGAAGAAGAAGAAGGAGGAGGGGACCCAAGCACGAGCGAAGGTCCCGGCGCGTCGAGGGCGAGTGCGCGTTCGACAAGGGACGCGAATTCTGGCAGCGACATTGGCTGCGAAGACGGCGGTGGAGAGAGAGAGGTGGGCGGACGCATCGCAGAGGCTCGGGGATAAAGGAGTGAGTGAGTGAAGGAGGGAAAGAAGGAAACGAATGTACGACTTGGATTCTACGAATCCGTCACATTCGGGCCCGCGTACGGGCTGCTTTATACTCAGACGTACACACATGCTCCATGCGGGTCGCATTGCGGGTGACAATTACTCACGTCCACGTCGCGCTCGGTCCAACCGCTAGGAAAGGGCTTATCGTTCCCTCATTCGGATGAAGTGGGCGAGGAGAAAGAGCGTGGGAAACCCATCAGCTGTCACCTGTCGCGCCTGTTCCTCGCCTGAGTCGCGTCTAGTTTCACCGGTGGGTGCATTCCACACGTCCGGTGGAGGGTCTGGATCCTCGACGCGTGCGGTGTGCCTTGCACTATGTGTCTGTGTGGGTGTGAATCTAGCTGCCTATATCAGTCTCATTATGACGCCACCGCAGTTTCATCCTCCAGCGGTCATTCCTCTGCAGCGGTCTCTGTGCGCGGCGACCGGGAACCTTAGAGTTGTGTGGCATTCGGCAACCTATCCGTCGACGCGAACACTTGGCTTTCAGACGCTTCGAAGAGCCATGCACTCTGTGCTTACTTATAACCTTCCTCACCTTCCCTGCTCCACCCTTCGAGGCCGCTTTTCCTCCGGTCCGATAGTCCCCGACCCCGAGGAAACGAAACGAAACGCAACGAACCCGTCCGCTCGTGTCCTGCGGATGCGGAATCCACGAAAAAACTCCATGTCACTCACTGTTCCCGGCCGATGCTGCTGCTGCTGCTCGTCACTTCACGCCGATTGACGCTTCCTCATCCGGAACAAATGTAGTCTAGGCAACTCCTGCGAAGGCCCTGCAGACCTGAAACCAGTTCTTGCTTCCCGGATCGCGTACATAATCACCACCGACGGGTCCGGAGCCCCAATCCAGCATGGAGCTGGACTGTCTTGGTGCGAAGTACTTTGTTGTGCTTGCCCAGTGACACTCGCGACCTCGAGCCCAGCACATGAAGCCGATGCTTTATTTCTCAGATGTTCTGCTTGATCCCCGCGGGTGGTGCCATTGCGTCAAGCGTAACTTTGCAAGTAGCGGAAACCAGTCACTATCCGAACCACGGCGATATTTACCCACGGAGCATGCCCTTCTCTTTCTTTTTCTTGAGGACAATCACGTCCTAGTCTCACTCCTCTGCATGCCTAGCTTCCTCCAAAACGAAGTCAGCCCACCCGCATCACTCCAACGACTGACATTCGTTACGGACCCGATGCGCCGAACATCGAATCGATCAGGAAGCGACAGGCTATAATTGTGTTCCAGCAATCGAGGAACAGCTCTCGTTGCCTGGTATATGCGCGGTAGATGGGTTCCAACCAATCAACACACGCCATGCCGTTGATGCGCGCTACTACGCGGACAGGTGCGGACACGCCCCTGCAAACATTGTCTGCCCAGCTTTTCGCAGAAGCGGGGCTTGCTCTGCGCGTGGGCAGTTGCGGAAGAGAGTAGTAGGGTTATCCAATATCGCTCAGAGACATATACCGAATCTGGGGGATAACAACAGCTTTGGTCTAGGAGACAACCTGCCAGCACGCCACCCCCGTTCCCAGGTTGGCTCCCGGGCGTCTGAGTCTCCACGATTGACTTCAGTGGCGATAAATTGCAAGTCGAACTGAGCTCCAAGCGCCCGTGAGACAAACGCCGCCCGTATCCTGCGATGACTAACCTGCTGCGCGGTACATAAATACTACAGAATCGCACCTACTCACCAAATAGCAAAACCGTCCCCCATGTCATCGTTCTGGACATCGCTCCGCGGCTTCGACCACGATCCCACTGCCCCGCTGCGGGAAGAGTTCGACCGCCTTGCGGAGCAGCGCGGCTGGAAGCTGAAGAGCGAAAATTACAAGCAAAACTGGGTGCGCTGCGCACTAGAGGAGTTCGGGTATCAGTTCGGGCGGGACGAGGACCGGCTGGCCGGATGGCAGGCCCTATGCGCAATAGTCGGCGTCACAGACGTCCCCGACACGATCGTCGGATGTCGGGCCGTGCGTATTCCCACTCACCGGCTATTTTGGGTGTTCACTCTCTCTTGCAGATCATGAAAAAGACCTGGGTGAACATCTACGACCTGTTGGACGCCCAGCGCACCGGGGGTCCGGTCGTCCAACACCGCACAAAACACGCGTTGCGGGTCTACTCCTTACAAAATGAGAAGATCTTCCCAAAGGAAACCGCCAAAGAGAACCGATTCCTTGCCGTCCTGCTGATAGACATGTTTGCACGAGCCCGGCCGTAGTGCGATGGAACATCAGGATCTGTAGTAAAACTCGTGTTGGGGCTATCTTCAATGTCGTTTCTGACAAGCCAGATCCCGTGACAAACTCTTCCACGTGTCTTTCACATGCCCCTCACATGGCCTGACGTGCAGGTTTGTTTATCAACAGTTGTACTTACAGGAATGGTGACCTAGGATATCATTCCGTCTGTCACGACAGACCACTAACAAAAGAAAATCCTTTAAATTAGTCTCATGATAGAATTCAGCCTTTTTGGCACCCTCTAAGCAGCTGTTGGGACTAGTGACCTGTGATGATCAACCCAACTTCGTCTTCCTCATCTAGGCGATATGTGGATGGTTATTTGAGCAGATGAGTAAATCATAGTTCCCAATCGATACAAAAGTGTCAACTCACAGGGAAAACGCATTCGTCCCATTGCTAAAAATCGGTTGCGGAGCTTTGCAGGTCGAAATCGAATCCGAATCCGAGTCCCGATGGTGTGTGGCTCGCTTTGCATATTCGAGCATCACAGTCTGAGGATTTTGCTTGTGGATCTTGGAATCGGTAGTGCGTCATCGACCGCTTCTGTCCAGTGGGCCCAATGCACGCGGGCATATCGGGTGCCTTCTTCGCTTCTGATGAATTTGACAGGGATCCGACAAGGCTAAACAAGTTCAGCGCGACTCAACCACGACATATGTATTTTGTGTCCATTTCAAATATACTTGTGCGAGAGCAGGCAAGCATGAGGATCGACCCAAGTCGTGGCACGCAGACAATATCCACTTGGAAACTCCCAAAAAACCTCAACTGCCTGACGTTATACTCTAGTATCGCTCGCTATCAGAGCCAAGTGAACAAATACTGAGCTATTTGACCGATTGGCGTGTGTTCGCTACCGCTCAAGTCGTCATTCCGGCTGCTAATTCCACTTCAAATCTAAACTCCACCAGTGATTAGCCCCGATGCAGGAGCCATGTCACGGCTGATTGGCTCATGTCAGTCATATATAAAGCCTCCATGCCGGGTGAACAAATGGCATCTACTCGACTTGCCTTCTCCGACAATGAGCGACCCAATGAAACTTCGAATCTCCCGCTACATCAATATCTCTGAAGCGCGCAGCAGCACTATTGCTGAGTACGATCGCGCGCGGGCTGCGTACTTTCTTTCGGACTCGGCAAGCCAAGCGGGCTCGGCTGTGAAGGAGGAGCTGATCAGTACATGCGTCGTAAGCTATCTTTCGCACAATCCCAGTACACTCCCTGTGCGGGCTGATGCTGCTCCAAAGGCTGCTATCGGCGTCGGCAGCCCTTCTATCACATGTGAGTGCTCTCGGTTAGATTCATATTCCCACCGAACCAAGGGCATCCACAGATAATCTGATCGTCGACACCGACACCATACGGACCTGGGTTGGAGCTTCGAGGGATTATGTGTCCACGAGCACCTCCAAGAATTCCGGTGCCAGCGTGGTGCGTCGGTCAGCTAGCCCAGTACCACTCATCCATTGATTGCATATCAGACCTTTTCACGGGGCCTTCTTTCGCTCTCTGGTGAGGATACCGAATTCGGCCCCCGATTGTTCCTCTCTCAAAGCATTGACGAAGGTACCGAGTGGACGGATCAAGTCACTCTTGCTCCGGAATTGGTCATTGCAGGCCAATCTATCGGCGTGGCATCGAGTTCCAGTGGGTTCGGCGACAGTGAGTCCCGCTCTTCCATTTGATTATGCAAGCCCTGATATCCCTGATTGCAGTTGATGGTGTTCTGGGGTTGGTCCTATGCGTGTGAACGCAGACCGATGCTGACAATCGTTTCCCCCTACCAAGCCTCGGACGAACCGCTCGGTATGAAATACTCGTCCCCCCGGACTACCCAAAGGACTGACCCGTCCACTGCCCACAGCAATGATGAGACTACCCCGACGGTGGTCGATGGTCTCTTCTCCCAGGGAGCAATCTCGAGCGAGGCTACCGGGTTCTCCCTCATGCCGCGCTCTGCCGATTCACACGGCGGCGAGGTCTCATTCGGCGACGCGGACACCACAGCCATTACGGGCGACGTGACTTACGTGTTCGTCTCTTCTGCCATTCCAGCGCTCGCCAGCTCAGACTGAGTGCACCGACCAACAGACCCATCACCTCGACCGCTCCCGCGTCAAGCTACTGGGGATTCGATGCCGCTGCAACATGTGCGCCCATTTCTCACGTGCAATGTTTCGATAACACTCAGTGGAATCTGCAGATGGCGGGAAAGAGCTGCTGAACAGCGTTGGCATCGTCGACATAGGCACCACTCTCATCCTCCTCGCGTCAGACTCGTTCCAGAAGTACCAGCGCGTGACTGGCGGTGTCCTCGACACCGAGACTGGCCTGCTCAAGCTCACATCCACACAATTCGAGGCGCTTGAGACCCTCGAGTTCAACATCGGTGGGACAACGTTCTCGCTGATGCCGGGAGCGCAGATCTGGCCGCGCGCTCTGAATGCTTCGGTCGGTGGATCCGAAGATGCCATCTACCTCGTTGTTGCTGATTTGGGTACGTGTCCTGTCGGTACTTGAGGTGTAGGAGAGATTGATGATGATGGTTCGCGTCTGCGTAGGCTCTCCGAGCGGTCAGGGGCTGGATTTCATCCTTGGCCAGGCGTTCATGGAGCGATTCTATACTGTTCTGAACAGCACAAACGAGCAGGTCGGGTTTGCGACCACTCCCTTTACTGAAGCCGAGACCAATTAAGCTGTTCGCGTTGTGCAATCAGTAGCGATTGGGGGCTGGAGTTTTCTTGTAAAGCAATTACGTCTTGGGCCACTCTTCAAATTTTATGTATTTCAAATAAATCCATAATGCGTTTGGATATGATGAAATGAGCCCTTGCCGTTGGTTCTGTGAAAGAGACGGGTTAGATGATGAGAGATGCGATTCCAATCATTGCATCTTGCGCTCAACATGCCACAACAGAGTCCCGTGACCGTGACATGAGACGGGCGGGCACGTTCTTCGACTCGTTCCTCCCCAGCTGCTTTCCCGCCCATTTCCACGATAGTCGTATCACGAGCCACGGCGGTCACTGCTATCGAGTCTCGTTCTGCTCCTGCTTTTTTCAAAGGAAGCGCATCCCACATCTTCGCCGTCGCCGTCTTCATACCATAGCGCGCGCTGACGTGTCTTTGCCTCAGGTGCTTCAAGCTACGACGCTGCAAATCCTTCAGGTGCGCTTCCACGGCGGCAGATGCGCTTTATTCACTGATACACGCACCGGGTCGCGCATTTAGTTTGAAGATACGCTCGCGGGTGCTCCTGCAGCCAAACGCGCCCAGCACACCACCGCTGGTGCCGACACACCTTCTCCCGGTAGAGACACTGCCTCTCCGAGCAAGGCAGACGACAAGAAGCCCAAGATGCAGGACAATAGATCTTTGATCGGTATGCCGACAGAATTTGCCATGCAGCCGAAGTGACTGATTGGTCGTACCCGCAAAGGCTCAAGAAGGAGTGCAAGTCCGACAGCGTCAAGTTTCAAGGTTTGTTAAAGACCCCGAAAATCGACGGGGTGTTGCAGTCGTCGAGTTTGAAGCGCTGTTCCATGGCTAGGGCCATGCTGTTCCAGCCGACCAAGGATCACAAGCCGAAGAGCAGGTCCACTTGATGTGCCTCTCGACGTTCCTAGCGACTGGCAGGCAGAAGCTGATCGATAGACGTCTAGACAAGCGCGGCACACGTCCGCGAGACTTCTTCAAGGAGAAGCCGCAATCCCTGAAGGGCAATATCGGGAGCCACAGCGGTGCACAACCGTCTTCCTCTGACTCTTCACTTTCCGCTCTACATCTTCAGCCTGACGGGAGAGCCCAGGTATCCCGCAGCGCACCGTCGGGACCTTCGGCGGCAGAGGCGGCCAGGGCAAGTCCGTCAAGCAGGGCAGCGGGGACGTCGAGATCGCCTCCGCCGAGGCCAACTGCTCGAAGACAGCCGTCAAGTGCTCGATCAGGCTCGAGGGTAGCAGGTTGGAGGGTACGGCTGCTATGATGACGACTGTTAGATTCAGTCTGTTACCACATTGGGAGCGAGCGCGCATTGTATCCGCATGTGTCTTCGCAGTGGAGCCGCCCTCTCTTCTCTCCTCGCGCATGTAAGGTCGACTACACTATCCTCTATATCCTGCACGCCTATATACATGTACATCGATCGATATCTGTGCCTCAGGCCCGAACTACTCGAAAACGACCTCAGTGCATTGTCTTGATATCGTTAGAACTTGTATCTTCTCGAATTGGTATTCTTTGCAATAGGACATACTTCACTCTTGCCATTCATCAATTAGATGTGGGCCCCGCTTCACCTCGTAAACCAATCCCTGAGTTTCCTGCAGAACTTTCAACTGATACATGCTCTGCTCGTTCAGCGTCATGCTCCCAGCTGTGACCCAAATCTTGATAACTCCCAGCTTTCGACATTTGGCGCCGTCCGATGTAGCCCGAGACTTGATCATACGCATCAACGAGCCCTGTCTGACGCTTCGTTCGTCGAAAACGAGCGTCAGATCCGTCACGTTCGGTCCCAGGCATTGCGTACTGTTTGCTCGGACGGTGAGCTGTGACACCATAGCTTCGGCCTCTTTATCTGAGCCACATTGCAGCCCGAGCGACACGATTTGGGGCGCGGCAGCGAGAATGGCAGAAACACTCCGTGTTGTAGCCCACGCAAGCCGCAGAGTGCGGAATTTGTGAGTCTGAGCCTGCGAGCGCTCGAGGAACTGGACCAGGGGTGTCGGACCTGTGTCGATCGTATATACCTCTTCGAGGAGGGGTGCATTGAGTACGTCAAAGAAGATGATTTCCCGCGTGAACATTCGCCGCAGAGCAGGCAGCTCCACGTCGATTTGGACCGTGGATAAGATCGCCTCCGCCTCCGTTTGGAAGTCCACCGAGGCCCATTCAAGACCTGGCGTCGACTGCAGCAGGAGCAGGTGTTGCGGGCGATGAATGGCAAGATGGAGGCGAGTGAGCTGTCCCCAGGGCAGGGCAATGGGATTGGGGTGCCGGATGCCAGCAATGTTGTCCAAGGACACGTCGCACAGTCGCGGAGCAAGCTCAAACGCATTGACCGTGTCTCGGTAGTCGACACCGTCGCCACTGTAGTCCGTCGCTGCCGACAGACTGAGACCAAGAAAACGCAATTGAGGCAGCCGCCCCCTCAGGACCGATAGCCTATGTACGAGGCTAGGCCTCATATCCATGCTCACTGCAATCCAGCGCTCCGACACATCCATCAGCATGTCCAGCACGGCCAGCGCCTGCTCCTGTCGTTCCCTCCCCCCACCATATGGCATCCAAAACCTGACCCGAAGTGGCTCGGCGCCGGACCGCTCGATAAGCGTCTTGATCTTCTCGGAGGAGCGGCCGTGCGCGATGACAGACCAAAGCCCCGGCAGGGCGAGTGCCAGAGCGCGCCAGTGCTGACACACGTGTCCAAGGTACCACGGCGGGTACACGAATTCTGCTAGTGGGGCTTCTTCCAACACAGCGAGTAGAATCTTTGACAAGATCTCGTTCGGGATGCGCTGCAAGACATCTCGCACGGACGAGTCATTGGCGAGGAGCTTGAGCGCAGGCTCTTGGCCCTGGGCGAGATCCAACATTTCGCTTGCGAGGACGCAATGAGTGGACGATTGGTTCGGGACTGCTCCTCCAGTGAGGTGCTACTGCGTAAAGCGTTGTCCGCTGCTGACCTAATAGCTGTGGAGAACATTTGACCGACGCTGTTCCGATCACCTATCCAACAGACCGATTCACGTGACAGGCTATGTGGATGGGGCGAATTGCTTTGATTTAGTCTACTACATACCTTCAATACATATGAAAGGATTGACCATTATAGTCCTCATTTGAAAAATAAACCCACACAGCTCGATTCATCTATTCACGTCCCTTCGACGAACCTGTTCTCTGCATGATTATCACCCTCACCCAGTCTGGTTTAAAAGTCCATTCGCTATGCCAGCACATGGAGTTGTTCAGTAATCCTTCTAGTCAGTCTTTTCTTTATTTTCAGCAATGATTGGCTGTGCTTGAAATGAGCTGCATAAGCTCACTCTTCACCCCACCGCTGAGTAGATTTGTCCAGCCTTCACCCACTCCCATTTCTTGGGCGTTGTGCTGCTTAGAATATGCTGGTAGATTTTTGTATCATGTTCCATTCAAGTCCTGCACCATACCTCGAAATCAACAGAGAGGGTCACTTGGGAGTAACAGCAGAGGCTCTTAGCATGGCCCTTCGTAGCTGCGACTGCGCCAACTTGCTCTGACTTGATAGAGATAGTACAGGAGCTACGCCACCGCGCAGAAGAAGGGATAGTATTTACATATTGCGCAATAGCTACTTGATGAGAACTGTGGCGTGAACGACTCCAGTACAAGATATTCGACCAAAACTATCCCCGTATCTAGATGTAAATTCACGAACGATCGCCTTCTTGGCTTCTTCGTGAAGGGCTTCCGGTATGTAATCGAGACGCCAGAAGTTTCCAAACGAACTAGCGCTGATCCAGGACAGCAAGGCGTCCACGTCGTCGAATGCCAAATGCATGCGCAAGAGGGTGATGGACGGATGAGCGAACCCTGCCCCAGCAAAGATCTCACGAAGTCGTTCCTCCGAGAACGACGTGGATAAGTAGGTCGGAGTGAACGCATTGAAAGGCGGCACGGAGAGCGCGTCAGCCTTCGGCGACGACAGGCTCGCTCCTGCGACTGGGGTGGTAATCCCAACCCGCCCTCCGACGCGCAAGCGTTTGTGCATGGCCTTGAGTACGACAACTGGGTCACTGAGCCAGTGGAGCACAGAACTCAACAAGAAGATGTCGACCTCGCATTCCACGCGGCTGTCAAGATCCTCGGCGCTGCAAACGTAAAATTCGACATTCGCACAGCCCTTCTCCTGCACGCGTTTTTTCGCGATCTCGATGCGCTTGTCCTCGGGATCGACGCCAATGACTTTGCACCCGAAGCGCTCGGCGACGTGGAGTGCGAGTTCGCCCGTGCCGCAGCCGACGTCCACCACCACCATCCCGCTTTGAATGTCTAGCTGTTCGAGCATCTTGAGGCCGAATTTGAACTGGGGCTCGTTCATCGCGGCGTACGCCTCTGCCAGCTCGGGAGTATCGTTATCAGTAGACGCGGTAGCCATGCGAAAGTGGGGAGCCTGGAGGAATGATCAGTTCAGATAAGCCAGGGACTCGGGAGTGTTGCGAGCCCACAGAGAAGATGGTCAATCTGGAAGGTAATGGGTACCTCTCGAGCACGCTCAATCTGGTATTTATATCTTCTGAAATGTCGGTGCGAACGCGAGGGGCGTGGAAGGCCGATGGACCGCTTGTCTTCTGTAACGATTCGTGGTCTAGAGCCGGCACTAACATGCCATGCGCGCAATAAGGCGCGATATTCCTCTATGTGCTTCCCGCATTTGCCCTGATACTCAACAAAGAATTTGAACATAGGAAGCTTGGGAATCGTGCGGTCACACGCGATTGGGTAGGGTTCCGCTAGGTCCCCGGTCACTGAGGCATACGTTGCTAAGGAAGTCAGTAAAACTTGGTCGAAATGACCGTTTTGCCCTCCGCAAAATAGAGTACGAGATGATCGAGAACCTGTCAGTCGCTTCGAAAATAGAGTGAATTCGGTTTCCGGTGAGAGATTTTCATAAGGTATGCCCCGGATGTGGATCTGAAATTTTCAGCCAGGTCGCGGACGGACATATACCCAAGTGACCGGGGACCTGTTCCGTTCATTACTCGAGCCGGATCACTCGGAGTAATTTACACAGCAGCTTCCTTGACGGGTTTTAACACATGTTGATCCTCCTTACGCATCGACGCTGAACTCAAAATATCTTTTCTGACCCGGGATGGGCAAAGAGATATAAAAGCAGCGCAGACATTAATCTCCGGGATACTGAACAAATATTTTGGGATTTAGCTCTTTGAATATGTCCGCATTGGGTCTGAAACCCTGTCCCCAAATGCACCATGTTGCTAACATGTAATCAACGTCTTGATAACACGGGATAAAACTGGTAATGTTGACACGTGATATAACTCATGTTAAAAATACATTAGCTATTGGCGGAACCGCAGAGTGCGGGCGGACTCTGACGAGGCAGCGCTGACGGAAATGCATGGGGCGAGGCTACAATGGAAGACAAGAACCCCGCCGGCTCGAGCACATGTTCTGCAACATCGCGGAGGCGGAACCGACCTGCGGGCGACCGACGCGCGGGCACTGGAAAGTGACCATCGAGTGGGGGGGGGGATTGGAACATCGTCTTGTGACAGAAATGTGACAGAAGGTTGTTGTACTCATCTCTCCTTTTCTCTTGTTGCCGTTACTCAGCTTGAACAAATGCCTCATGCGATATTCTGTGTCACATCTTATCGATGTGCCAACTCAGAGGGAAATGACCTGAGATGAGTGCAATGTCCAAAAGTCGAGCAGAAAGCTAGCCGACACTCCAGGGCGAAGTTACCTCGCGGCCACTGTTCATTATCATGCGTCTTACGTCCTCTCGTGTGCTTCGAACCCCGGATGCTGGCATTGCGCAGACATCTGTAACAAAAACCGGACCACCGATCGCGCGTCCCTACCTCAATAAATACTTGAGGAAGTCGGCGCTCCAACACGCGCTGCCTCTTCACACAAGAACACCTCGATACATCGCAGCTGTTTACCAGGATTTCTCATCCGTGCCGAGACATCTACCTCCAATGTCCACAGTCATCCGCACAGCAGATGACGCCGGTAATCCAATCTAACACCGTCCCTCGAGTATTCTGAGGCTGACGTGCATTCCTAGCAAGATTACGCGTCGCCTATCTGGGCTGTGGGCCGGGGACGAGTGCCTGTGTCATTTACTCGATGGCACATGCAAAAATCAAGCCTCAGATCAAGATTTGGGCAGCACCCAACCACCGTAAAGACTACAACATATTCAAGGCCGCCGGGCGTATCAAATCGGTCGGATTATACAATTCCGAGGTCACGCCGATATTCTGCGATGATCTCAACGACACAGTCATCGACGCAAAGTACATCATTATCACCATTCCGGCCGATGGCGTTTCTTCATTGATCAACACGTTCTCTCGCTTGGACTGGGACGACAAGATCGTCATTCTGATCGACTGCTTTTACCTGTATCCAATACTGCGGGACGTCTTCGCAGGCGCTCGTGTTCTCATGGCGAACTCCCTCCCCTTTGGGACGCGGATGGACGGTTCAGTGGTGAATATCTTCTTCAAAAAGGCAGTATTACAAATCGGCGGACCACCGATTCCAACCAGCACACAGCAGGAGGTCGCATCTTTGTTTCTTCCGCGCCTGGAATGGTGCATGGACGCCCTGCATTGCGCGCTCTCCGCGAAGAACGATGTTGTTCATCCCGGCCCAAGTCTCCTCATATCCGGTAACATTGGGCGGCTGGGACCTGATTTCAGGTTCTACAAAGACGCGATCGGGTCAGCGGCGGGTGTGAAACTCGTTCTCAAGCTCGATGAAGAGAAGCGGCGGGTTGTGGAGGCGCTCGGATATCCAGCTGAAGACTTCATCGACTATGCGAACCGCCTGTACGACACAGATTATCCGGACCTCGAAACCTTCGCCCGAGAATCCCGGACTCATAACATGCACCCATTTGCCCCCACATCTCTCCACCATCGCTTCATTGCCTCGGATATCCCGCAGGGCATAGTGCCTTTAATCAAAATTGCGAAAATTGCTGGCATTGACGTTCCAGCATTCACGTTGGTTGCGGTTCTCGCGGGTTATATCGCAGGCGTGGATTATTTTGCGACCGAGGCGACTGATGCAGCTCTGGGATTGACCCCAGGGGCATCGACGGTGAACGACCTTTTGCGCGCGTTTGACGCAACCCACCGAGTTTGAAGATGATTTTTGGAGGGAGCCTGTTCTCTCTACTGTTTTGTGCTATTTATTCTACGTAGAAATCGAATTCTCCTGACTTGCGACCGCGCTTTCACTGATCGATTGATAAAAGCAGGGTCAAGAGGTCAGTGAGATTTTTACAGCGGGGAATGAAGCGCCACAACGGAGAGCGCACTGCGAGCAGCGGTCAATGGTGTTGTCAACAAGAGTGGTCACAGGCCAAGCCCGATCAGCCAAATTCAAACTCCGACATACAGGCACGCCACTTACACAAGCCAGTCGGCGGTATGTGGCCGTTGAAGTCTGTGATCAATATACCACAACACAATATCTTGAGATCAAACGCGCCGCGAACGTTTCTTCCTTCCCTCCAGCTCTGCCACACAGTCCCACGATGACTACCGTGCCCTTCCCCGCCTCTTCTCATGTATCTGTCAAAGAAAACGCGTATCCTATCTCCCCCGTCGCGACACCCTCCATTGGCGCGTTGAGCAAAGCTACCACCAAGGGCCGGAAGAGGTCCATCACGCTCGTGGATGGCGGTAGGTCGCGTCTCACCTCCCTTCAACTCTCTCTGCATATCCCCGATCTAGCAGAGCTCGACTTGAGTGCAGCGCTACCGGTCACCCCCGAGGTCAGTTCCTCCCTCGAGTCCCAGTGCTGCAGAGTGCGCTGACGCGTCTTACGCGCAGTTGCTTCAAGCTATGAGGCTGCGCATCATTCAGGTGCGTTTTCACGCAGGCTGGTCACTTTCTCTGCTCATACGCGCGTCCCACACTTAGCTCGAAGACGAGCTCGCAAGGCCACCGGCCGCTAAGCGCGTCAAGATTGCCTCTTCCGCTGTTGCCGCTGCTGCAGACGATCAACCTGCTAAATCATCGAGCAAGGCAGACGACAAGAAACGAAAGATGCAGGTGAAAAAGATCTTTGATCGGTGCGTCGACAGAATCTGCCACTCTGATTGATACCGACCTGCTCGTGAAGTGTTAAAAAGGAGTGCAAGTCCGACAGCTTCAAGTTCCAAGGCTCGCCGAAGACACTCAAGATCGACGAGGTGCTCGAGGTCACCGAGTTTGAAGCGTTGTTTGGCGGCAAGGGCGTGCTGATCCAGCCGAGGAAGGACAACAAGCCGAAGAGCACGGTGACGATCATCCACCTAGTACGTAGGGTCCATTCTTTCGTCTCCCTATCTCTGTCTGAGGAGCTGTGGGTGACGGCTGGCTGATTGTCGTGACTGATTGTCGTGCAGACAAACGCAGCGCACGTCCGCGACTTCTTCGGAGACGAGCTGAAGCCCCTCAAAGGCAACACCTGGAGCCGCGGCGGTGCGTCTTCATCCTCCTCATCCCATTTCTGCCGTCTGACACGATAGCACAGGCATCCCACAGCGCGGCTTCGGGTTCTTTGGCGGCGGAGGCGGCCTCAGCAAATCCGTTAAGCAGGGAAGCTGCGACGTCGAGATCGCCTCCGCCGAGATCAACTACTCGAAGAACGGTATGAAGTGCTCTATCAAGTTCGAGGTGCAGCAGGTCGGAGGGTACGGCTACTTTGATGACGATTGGTAGATTCAGTTCGTTGACGACCTGAGAGCGAGCAGTGCGTCCTCCCGAGAGGATTCACACGTCTCTTCTTTGCAATCCCGGGATACCTGCTCTACAAGTCCCCCTGACCCTATTACTCTGATCGGATATTTCCACTATCCTATGTTCCATATCTCATGCGAGGATATACTCATGCACTATTTTGACTCTTCACTGATGCCTTACTAGTACTAATCTTGTGTAATACCTATACCTGCCTTATATGACTACGATGCACTGAATCTTGCCTCCGATTCTACTTACTTTCTTCTCGACACCGAAACCGTCCTGACGATCATGCTTTGCAATGAACCTACTGGCCGGAAACGCCCTATTGCGCTGTGCTGGCACCAATGATCCCTCCTCCCCTACCGTCTCTTGCTCTGACATACGCGATCAGCCTGTTCCAGACCAACGATTGCGGAATCTTGGTTCCTGCTGCTATCGCTGGCCACGGGAAGCACTGGCATCGGATCACTTCCGTGGGCGCTCCCGACCGGCACATCGTGCTCTCCATCTACTATATGGGGGAACAGTTTCTGCTTAATCAGCGGCTAGTGGATCGCGCACGGGCTGCTCGTGTCAACAAGGCACCTTCCTATGCAAGTTGTGAATCGTACAAGATATCTGGATGGCAGAGTAAGCTATTGCACGCACTCGTGATCGCCTTCAGCTGATGACTGGAGACTTGGTATGTTTCGCGCTTGTCAGATCCTATTCATTCCGTGCTCTCCATATGCTCACGTACAAGACGAACGCATGGGATAGAAACTGGAGGTCAATCGATAGATCACCAGACTCTGCCATAAGCACTCATGAACGAGATTTCTAATTCGGTTCGACACCCGTTCGCACAATCTCCATGTGGAGGACAGGCTTCAATCGTCCCAGTCATCTATGAGGTTTGGACCCCACTTCACCTCGTAAACCAATCCCCGTGTTTCCCGCAAAACTTTGAACCGATCCATCATCTGCTCGCTCACCGCCATCGTCCCAGACGTAACCCAGATCCTGATATATTCCAGCTTTCGACATTTGGCACCGTCCGATGCAGCCCGGGACTCAATCATACGCATCAGCGCGCCCGGTCCAACGATTCGTTCGTCGAAAACGAGTGTCAGGTCTGTTACGTTCGGCCCCATGCAGGGTGTAGCATCAGCTTGGACGGTGAGCTGCGACACGAAAGCTTCGGCCTCTTTATCGGAGCCGCACTGCAGTCCGAGTGACGCGATCTGAGGTGCGGCCTCAAGAATAAGAGACACAGTTCGCGTTGTGGCCCACGCAAGCCGCAGCGTACGGAGTTTGCGAGTCTGAGCCTGCGAGCGCTCGAGGAAGTGGAGGAGGGGTGTCGGATCTGCGTTGACCGTATAGACCTCTTCAAGAAGGGGTGCGTTAAGCACGTCGAAGAAGATGATGTCCCGCGTGAATAGTCGCCGTAGAGCGGGCAGATCCACGTCAATCTGTGTTGTGAACAAGACCGCATGCGCTTCTGTGCGAAAGTCCACCGAAGCCCATTCAAGACCCGGCGTCGACTGCAGCAAGAGCAGGTGTTGCGGGCGATGGATCGAGAGACGGAGGTGAGTGAGCTGTGTCCAGGGCAGCGCGATGGGGTTGGGGTGTCGGATGCCAGCTAGGTTGTGCAGGGACACGTCATGCAGCCGCGGAGTAAGCTCAAACGCATTGACCGTGTCTCGGTAGTCGACGCCGTCGCCGCTGTACCGCGTCGTCGCCGACAGACCGAACCCGAGAAAACGCAAAACAGGCAGCCGCACCCTCAGGACCGACAGCCTATGCACGAGGCTAGGCCTCAGATCCATGCTCACTGCAATCCAGCGCTCCGACACATCCATCAGCATGTCCAGCACGGCCAGCGCCTGGTCGTGGCGCTCCCTCCCTCCACCCGGCGGCATCCGAAACTTCACCCGCAGCAGTTCGTTGCTGGCGCGCTCGATAAGCGTCTTCGTCTTCTCGGGGAAGCCGTCGTAGGTGATGACAGTCCACAGCCCGGGCAAAGCGAGTGCCAGAGCGCGCCAGTGCTGGCACACGTGTCCGAGGTACCACGGCGGGCATATGAACTCCCCCAGCGGGGCATCCTCCAGTACAGCGAGCAGAATTTGCGACAGAATCTCGTTCGGAACGCGCCGGAGGACATGTGGTGCGGATTTGTCACCAGCGACGACCTTGAGCACTGTATGTCCGCGCTGCTCGGTATCCAGCGGCACACCCCGCGGAGGCACGACGAGCAGAAGATCGGTTTGGGCCTGCTCCTCGGAGAATGAGGCTCTGCCGTGTGACATGCTACTGGATGCTGATTTAATAGATGTGGAGGGATATTAGAGGCGAAATTGTTCCGATCACCCGTCATTCGAGAAGTTTCACGTGATGGGTCGTCGATTGCACTTGCATTGCACGGAAGAACCGATCATTATGGGGCGCATTTATTTGACTCCCTGTACTTGTCAGCCCTGAGGATATCGAGCGATATAATGATGGGACACATCATGTTTCCTGTCCTACCTTTGGTAGTTCAACTCTGGATATCTCTCGGCCCTTGCCCTTCGCGATGAGAGCCGAAAAGACCGAGTTCTCGATGAGCGATCCGGGACTGCACTGGTTGAATCGCTCGATCCTGGCCCCTTTGAGATAAAGCTCTCGCTGAATCATTATCGTGACGCACCCCATTGATGCACACTCACTCTGCCTTCAGTACATTCAAGTCGTTCCGTTCTGCATCTACTCAGCGGCTAAAAACACATTCCTCGGCTCAAACCATTCTTACCAACCTCCGCTACTAATTGTTCAAGCCACCGCAGAATGAGAGAGAGCAGAATGCTGAATGGCCGCTAACACTTATAAATTGATCACCTCAGTTACCACCGCCATCACCCGGTTGCACCCCCGCGGGGGTCCTCCTGGGTACCCTCAGACGTAGCTCTGAGGGTACCTAACAGGTACCCCCCTGCGGGGCCCGCGGGGGGGATTTGGTCCATTTGGGGGCGGGGGCATATGCGGGGGTCAGCAGGGGGGGGTCTGTACATGTCATGTGATTTATCATTGGGAGCGGGCAGGTGGGCGCGAAAAAAAAAATGAATCACATGACACATCCAATGGGCGGGATGGCGGCTGATGGCGGGGTAAAAAAATCACGTGATGCACCGCATGAAAATTATCAAAAATGGCTAGCAGGGGTTGGCGGGGGTTGGCGGGGGGCGCTACTGCCCCCCGCACACCATGGCGGGCAGTGGGCGCATTATCACGTGACTTTTGGGGCACCTTTTGTGCACCATTCGGCATGATTTCGGAGGTGTTGCTTGATCCATTGCATGCTGTGGCAGACAATGGGCGCATAATCACGTGATTTTCCGCCCAAAAAAATGGAAGCCTTCCCCAAATCATCCTGGTATCATTTCTATCGGTAAATACACTAGTTAAGCATGAATTTGAGCTTAGAAAGCCCAAAATGCACCCTGCACAATGGGACTGGTGATGCACTTGATCCCATCATTTGGCGGGGTCTGCTGCGGGGGGTGCCACGGGGGGTGCTGCGGGGGGTGCTGCGGGGGGTGCCGCAGGGGGTGCCGCAGGGGGTGCCGCAGGGCCCGCTGTGGGGTCAACCACAGGAGCAGGGGTAGGGGTGCATTGCATCATATTTTGATCTATCTATTCTCGCTGTGGTCATAGCATGCAGCATAATTATCCTTCATTTTGCCAGGAGTTTGGAGGCTGTGTCTGGGGTTGGTCTGCAGCTACAGCCATGTGACTCCCTGATGCTTCAGCAGGGGCTGGGATATCAAAACTGTGCAAATTTACCTAAATCTTTTGGCTTAGCTTGGGGCACTGATATATATGACTTGGTTCATTTTGGCATGGTCTGCTCAAGCTGTCAGGTCAAACTAAAAATTTGAAAAATGTGCAACTTGATTTGTTAGGCAAATCTCCCAAGTACATGCTCCAGGGACAGCCAACATCATCAACAAGAAATGGCTAATGTTTCTTTTCTCTGTCTGTTTGCTTCAGGTAGTCTGTCTGCACTCAAATTTTTCTCTCCATTTGCAGCATATTCCGTGGAGGTGTCATAATTGTTGATTTCCGGATTTCATACTTCTTGTCTACACACCATTTGGGCCCTTTACTGAATCCAATAATACTGTAGACTCTTACAATGGATTGAGCAGGACATTTGTCAATTAAATCCTTGCAGGGGTTGGGGGGGGGTCAACCACAGGGGGTGCCGCGGGGGGTGCCACGGGGGGTGCCGTGGGGGTGCACAAGCATCTGCCAGCCTACCAAATGTGGATCAACTACAAAATCACTTTCCAAAGCTTCTGTACTGCAACCCAAGTGACTTCTAGGTAACCTTTACCCAATCCCAGTGAAACAACTTCACTGCTCTTGTTTCTGGGTGACAATTGATTTTATGAGCTTGAGTGTGTATGCACCCTTTTTAGTAGGAAATGAGGCCATGTGATGAGAGGTAGGGCACCGAAACATTGTAAAATACTATATTCAACATGACCAGTGGCCCATGTCTCTTCAAACCAGCCCATATCTCATGTTTATCAAGACCCTATTTTTCGGACTCATTTCAAGTTTTTGAATAGTTCCAGGGTCCAGGGCTCTCAGAATTTGTTTCAGACACTGCCAAAGAGTATATCATTCAGCTGTATTGAATTGCTTGTGTGTAGAAAAAATATTTTTTGCCATACCCAAAGTGAACCATGTTGAACCATTGTCTACATAGGAACCTTGAGCAATGGTGAACTCTTTTCATGTTTCGAATTTTAGGTGGACAAATGATATGAAGTATCTACATATTCAATAAGAATAGCAGAAGGAGACCTTATTCCGATGGTTTTCAGCTGCATAACTGTAGGAACAGTGTTAGAAGAGCAGTAAACACTTAGGTACGACGTTTATACAGGTTCTGATTGGCTAGTGACTTGACGTGTTCCGAGCTGTCAGTTTACATAATCTTACATATAAGAAAATCACGGGGACAAGGCACCGGTGCAGCGGGGGGTGCTAGACTGGCGGGGGTGCCAGCGGGGGTGCCGGCGGGGGTGCCAACAGGGGTGCCGGCGGGGGTGCCAATGGGGGTACCAGCAGGGGTGCAGGCAGTGGGTCATGGCAAGGATGTGTGCAGCCCCAGAGGTAGTAAAAGTAACCATCTATGTCTCTACAGTCTATCTTGCAAATATACGAGCTCTGAGTGCACAGAGTGTTGTATATGAAATTTGAAATTCAAATATTACCAATCTCTGACTATTGTGAGGCAACTTGCTGGTGAATCCATTGTCTCATATTCCACCTAGGAATCAATTCAGGGCATGTCAAATCCACTCTATTACATCTGTTCATGTTGCAACTAAAGCAAACTGCTTGTAAAGTAACACAGAACAGATGAACTTCAATGAGTCCCAGACAGGAAGTGTGACATTAGGTATGTAATTAATGTGTGGTATCATCCACTGGGTAAGATTAGACTGTGCCTACAGCATGATCAGCTTACCAATGGGCATGTGTATAGAATGAGCAGACGAAACAATCAATGAGTTGACAGTGGACCCGATGCAGCCCATGATGTCAGCCCACCTACCCTGCCAGCCAAAAAATGAACAAATCACA